TAGACAGTTGCTTAATACCCAGTTCTGGGCTGCATCCCATTTCTATAGGGCTCCGCTTGTGACAGTTTCAATTCACAAGCAGCAAACGCTGTTTCACCCCATATACAACCAGGCACGAGGTCAAGGCACGCAGTTGGTCCTTCGCAACAAACGAGAATAACGAATACCATTTGCTTCAAACGTGCGTCTATGGCATAGCACCTATCACTGGTCGTATGTTTATACATTTAATTCATTATATATATGGATATACATATATCGTATATCCATATGATAAATTTGTCGATGCGGATATTGTGCAGTCTTGGCAATGCGGTAGAAAACCATAGACGTTAAGGATTTTTTTCTTCGAAGTGGTAATTACGCACGAAGAAATTTAGTTTCTTTACTTTTACCATTAGTATGCTATTGTCAGCGAATTGGACATCTTGAAATACTAGTACGTATATATTATCACTGATCAACAGAAAAGGCTCTTACACCATTCGTGCATGTGATACATTTACTGAAGATACTGTTTCATCTATGAGAAAACCGTTGTTCTTCTTCCGAAAACAATTTTAAAAACATAAAAAGTTCATTTTGTCCATTCAATTGACACGTTGCTTCATATAAATTAAAAAAAATAACTTTATACTCTTTCCTATTAAATGGAGAAATATTTAGCCTTAGATGTGTATTTATTCATAATATTTTTACCTTATATACACATATATATAGGATTAAAATATCAAACCTGTGTCGCTATCTAAGCGCAAAGCAAGCGGCCATAAAGTAGTCGTCGTTGTCGATCGACTATATGGCAAAACTAGTTTGTTTCATTTGGATAATAGCGGTGGGGTGGCTATATATTATATGGCACAAAAGTTGCTCGAACGGCCAACAGATCGCAATTTTTTTCCGATTGGGTTCGGTTGGGAGGAAGCCTGAGTTATGCCCTGATAAACACGGGCGGAAGTGACCTCTGAACCAAGTTGTCCGGCGGGCCCGTAGTTATTGGCAAGCTGCGGCCATTCTTGGATTAATTTAAACATCAGTGCAAGGTAAACATGGAAAAGCTGTACGAGCACTCATCCGGAGGAAGTCAGTTCTAGTTTTTTGCCGCTTCAGGAAGGCTAGCGTAACGTTCAGCGAATTTGCGACTGTCTAGCGGTCTCACTTAGATGAGCTAGGTGTGTCCTTGCATAACATCCGAAAAAGTGTACACTGCGGGAGAAGGAAGTCGAAAACGGGCCTGCAAATCCGCCCTGCGACAAAAAGCGTATTGAGCAGAACAAGCACCCCGTATCATTACAAATATGGCCAGGTAGATACATCAAGATGTACATTGGGATGACGAGAAGCCTCATTTTGTAGGCCGCTGATTTGTGTAGGGTGTCCTTGAAGGATGGACGTTGTGTGATCTGTACGGCGATTTCGGAAACAACGTAATCCTTAGTCTTAGTAAGTATATAAAATCATTAGCTTTATGCTCGGAAGAATCGTACCGGTCTTGGTGATCGGTACTAACAAACATACGACACATATATTGTGTACACAAACTAAAAAAAAATATGAAACACATTTTAGATTGAAGGTAGAATATTATAATCACAACACGCAATTCAGTGATTAGTGTATTGATCCCGGCAAAATTGTAAAAATAGTTATTAATAAAATTCCATTTATTATAGGATTTGAGTTATAACTGCAAAGTAGCAACAATCCTGTGACGAGAACGGAAGGTTAACTTTAAAATCTCGTCAATAAAGTTGAACCAGTTATTCTGTTAGGCAATACTTTATAATGCGTAGCGTTATAGCTCCAAACATCTTGAGGTTCTCGGTAAAGTAACTTCGAAGTATTACTAATCGTAATATGGTTACGGTAAAATTTACCCTAAAAGAACTAAACAAACTAAATAAACTTTTTAATAACTTTAAATAACTAAAAAACAAATTGTTTAATATAAGAATAATTAATTTAAAAAAACAGGCGTATAACAGCATGTTTTGGAATAGCAACATTATTTAGCATAGTTGTATGGAGGATGTTTATGAAGTCAACAAGCTAATATATTGGCTTTCTTATTTGTTTTCGTACGCTTGATAAATCATTTTTCTAGGGCATAAAAGACCAAACGCCCTTTTTAAGCTTAGACACTGCAGGTCTCCTTTTACCCGTTTGTGCCATATTTTAGCTAATATTGCTTTTTATTTATCATCTAATGTTTCTATAACGATAACTAGGTTTCTAAAAAGTCTAAAAAAACATTTAATTACTCTGCTTAGGCAAATCAAGGAATGTGTTGTTATTCCGGTAGCCAAATTAAAAACTAAAAAACATTCACTAAATTAGTCTCAAAAGCTTTTCTATGACCCGAACAAGTTAAATATTAAAAATAATATTATGTAGCTCAGATATAAACCCTGCGGAAGGTTTCGACATCACAATTCCTAGTTCTGACCTTCGCGCATTGTCTTAATACTGAACCAATGATACCAATGTGAAAGCTGCGGATTAGTCCGTTGGTATCATTACCAAGCGATTGGTTAGCCATGATTAAGCTTATCAACATTACATAATAAATTATCGATGAAAACATTTATATTTGTAACAAAAACTTTTCAAATTAAACCCTTGTTTCAAAACAAAATGCTTGATAGTCCATTACTCAAAAAGCCCGCTTCTCTATTGCCTACTACTTCCCCACAATCCTTTCACGAGCCCACGATTCCAGATACCCCTTACAAGTTTGCTTGTCAGCCTTAAAATACCATCATATATTCGATACAAGTACCAATTTTCTTATTATGATTATATATAGGTTATGTGATTTCGTTTAGCCTTAGTGCTATTACATTTTAGATAGTTATATATATATATATATTAACACGAGCTTTACAAATAGTATAATTAAAGTTTTTTTCTAATTGAAACAAAGGCTGTCAGAAACAACAGATCGGTGAAATTTATTCCAATTGATTAAATTTCACTATAGACCTCTCGATAAGTTACAGACAATTTTTGGCTATTATAAAAAGAACGCTTTTAATAAACGACTGTCATCAACGTATCCGTAAATTGAAACGTCTTCACAACCCCGACGTAGCCTTATGCTCTGATTTTAGTTATTATGCGAAAAGTAGAGCCCATATAATATACTACGGGCTGATTGGCCATATTAGGGATATTGTTTACTAAGGCAGATCTCTTAAAAAGATGTTTTGCGTTGTTACAAGCGTTAGTCTTTGCGGCCATGCTTATTTGATATAATGTCTGTTCATTTTGCTTCAGTCCGGCATAGTCTGTCACAGGCCCCTTTGAAGTTTGTTTGTCTAACTTAGTTTAATGAGAAGCTAGGGCCTTTTATATCGAGGATTTTTGCGTGTGAAGTCAATCTCTATAATACTGAAAGTCGGTCTTATAATGCATCTAGATCCAGAGGAGCGATGAAGCTTCGTGCCCCGATTATATTAAAATTTAATCTTCTATACCCTGAAGATAGAGGTGTAGGAAAAAAAATGTATATATACATATATATACTGTACGCAAATAATTAGAATGAAGATGACTGCTCTATCGGTATACGATGTGAGGTGATGTGAGGCCTTACAGGCTCAGCAATATTGACAACGATAAATGCGTTGGATTTTACGGGTACACGTTGGTCTATGTTTGTATCGACTCTTACAACATCTTCTCCTAAATTCGTGTAATGTTAATTCATTTTAATGTGATGATGATTTTAATGATTAATGTATTAGGACCGTTTTGACTGTACGCATAACAATGGCCAAGCTTGATCTGATCAAACCGATGATTATTGGCTCCCCTGGAACAGCTCGTAGTGATTCAACGCTGTCGAATATCGCATGTACAAAAAAAGCATCTGTAAATGCGTGGTTCTTCATGGCTGGCGGCTTCCTAACAGTCGCGATGATACCTTAGTGCTTGTTAGCAGATTTTTCTTTGTTGAGCTTACATTTGTCGCAGGCAGTATGTAGATCCTGAAATTTCAATATATCGAAATACAAGCAAGCAATAGATCGATTCCATTGTCTATTCTCGTTGTCATCGTCAATTCTGTTCCATTGTCACATCGAAGACACGCCGATTACCCAACCTGGGCCCGCATTGCCTGTCTTAAGGATTTTTCACGTTCACGGCATTGTCCGTTTATTGATGATTGGCTGTTTTCTTACTGCTGGTAACTTCGTTCCTACTATTGATTTTACACGATCTGCCGTGCTGACGCGGACGCGACGATAGACCATATCAATTTATACTTGTTCCTATACTTGTTTATTGTTATAATTTATACTTGTGATGAGTAAAATGCTTCACAGTATTTCAGAAATGTGACGCGAAGTAACCTATCGCAGGACTCAGTTACACCTCAGTGATATATATATATATATATATATATATATTTATATTACGTGGCAACAGTGAGGTAAAATATATGACCATTGTACTGCGCATAACGCCATTGGGTAACTCAAAATAGACAAGTCGTTAACTATAGCTGAGAACTGCAAGAATTGTCCAGTATTTTACAAGTGGCATTGTTCCTGTTACCTGTTTCTGCAGTGAAATGTGTCGCATAGTAAGTACAAGGACCTACATAAGTTTCTAGCAGGTGGCTGGATTCAACTGTCGCCTTTGAAGTTTTGGATCGCCTGACCTAGAAAATAGAGTTAACATATAGAAGCCTTCGAGCCGACGAACGTTGATATAGTATAGACATATCATCAACTCCTCCACGAATCATACTAAAGTTTGCTGCAGTGATACTGTTGCGATATGTGCAAACGAAAACGTGAAAAAAACTAAATAAATTACAATAACGAATCAGTCGTTTCTACTCATACGTTTCATTCAGGCCTATTCAGGCCTAGCAAAATGCTTTTTTTCAAAATAATTTCCATAGATGTATATACCGACCTTGTTAGCTTCAAATAATAGCATAATCGATACGGTAACACGTAATTATATAACGAAATTTAAATCTTTTACAGGCTCTCAAACAGATGGAGTCTGACAAAATATTTCGAGTTTCACGTCTGGTACAGCAGTTAGGCGTTGCTCCAAAATGAAGGATATCTACAATGGATTTCGAGCCTAAACGACTTCACGTATCCTCGAGCTTAGTAGGTAGGTACGTTACCGGCGGATCATTTCTCGAAGGGTACAATTTGTACTCAGATAACCTTATCCTTTCAAGTAAACCAAAAGAAAGGCAATCAAAATAACGCTATTGTTGTGCCATCACCGAGTTAAAGAAAGTCGTTCGTGTCTGGAAAAAAGCACATCGCCATTTTCACGCTCGTTGAATGAGGCCTACAATAAGTGCTTCGTAAATCCAATAAAAATCTATGCATATTAGCGAACCTTCTTCGGTTAAAGTTGCAGTCCCGCACCCTGATGTGATTACCACCACTGAAGTGTTGATACGAAAGGCGTGTTTTTCCGCTTCGATAATTGGTTCTACTAGATGAACCTAGCATTTTTAATAGTGATTAAGTGTCTCAGTCTCTCATCTGAACTGCTTAGTTTGGTTATTTGGCTGTATACTAGATTGCACCTCGTCACAGTCAATGAAGCCGCAGCCAACCACGTCCTCCATCGTTCGGAGCAGTTGTTGTCTAACACCGACTCGCTGTACATGCATACGATAATCGATGGAAAAAATGGCAATTCAGTTTACGAGCTTTACAATGCACGGCCCCACATTTGATTTACTGGCAATAAGAATCCATGAATATAGTGTTTCTTTGTTCATATCAGGTTCTACACACACACACACACACACATATATATATATATATATATATACATATATATATATATATATATACATTCGTTTATACAAGCTGTGAAAATGATCTGCTCTGTTATCGAACATGTTCCATAATAATTCGAGATCACAAGGTTTCACATGGGAGCCAAGGGCAGAAATTGAGGATCACCGATAACAGAGTTCATTTTAGCGAAGCTTGCTTTATGCTCTTTTCCGAAGACTATCAGGTGCCTCGACGCTGCATCATAAAAATGTGAGGAACAACAGCGCTCATAATTCCTTTCACCTAGAATTCTGGTGCTCTCGACTACAAACCACCGAGATAGCGTTTTGCCAATTCTGTTGAATTTAGTTTCCGTTATTGTGTCGTAGATAACGTCTGTTAAGTTGAGGAACATGTAATTAGAGCTTTAAATTGAAGCGCAGACATATGTCGCTTCGTGCTGAGAGCCAGCCGTCTGACGTAAAACGTAACGGCTTGAGTACCAATGTAAAACCCGAAAGGCAAATTGTTTTTGGAGACAAGTTTGGCATGGTGCTCTCGTTTTTTCTTTTTTTGTTTTCTACAGCAACGTATATACTCATCAGCTTAAAATATTTTCGGATCGTATGAATAACTTCTTTTCTTTTTAAGTTAAGACTTGAAACAACTGAAACGCTGAAGTCTCAAAATAATAACTTCTTTTATTAATACTCAAAATAGTGACTCCTTGTTCAGTTAGTTGATATTTGGTCAGTTATTCGCACACGAGGTAGACTTAGCTAAACTTGCAAGTTAGGGTTTGCCCACATATCAACAACAGTGTAAATTATACGGTTGTCAGTAAGGTCCCATTGACGATTACCACAGTGAGATCCAGGACGAACTATCGGGAAATACCAGGATCAGCAAACGAAGCGGTGATGAGCTTTCTGACGCCCCGAATAGACATGCATATAGATCACTGACCGTCTGCCCTTATTCGGAAGTGACCTTTCGACGAGTAGGTAGCATCGATGCAATTGACTGCGCTCCTGTCCATGCTTACCTTGTAGAGTACTATAGGATTATAGGCGTAGTTAAGAAAAGGCAGGAGAAATTGTAGGAGCTGCAGCGGAACAAAATGCAACACCACGCCAGCCATAAATCATTATTAGTAATTAAGTATCTGTTGTTATTTATATATAGGCCACGTCGGTGCTAAATTGTTTCATTACCTATTACTAAGCTAGACGTTAACCGAAAATTTTGACGTTAGATCTCTTTGTATTTTACGTGAAATATATTCTCACAAACGCGATATGACATCTGTCTGCAAGTAGTTACTCCTTTCGCAAATTTCCTTATTTCAGATCCTTTTCGCATTTTTGGTATGCTTTCAAAATATTCGTAATAGTTTTTTCCACTCAGACGTTTGGAATACTTGTATCGTATACACATTTAGATAGAAATTAACGTGCTAGTAATGTTTTTGATCAGAGCGCATTACAACACCGTTGTGGACAACAACGTTGGCGACAAATGTGAAGCATCCTGCTATAATTTATGGTGACTTTTCCCACTATATAGCTCATAATAATAATAATAAGCTGTTATAAACACATGTGTTAAGGAACGGTCGTTTTTTTTTAATGCTAGCAACATTTTCTGCCGCTTATTCTGTTTTTACCGTTGTTTAGCTTGCTAGTTGTGTGTGTTATTCATGATCGGCTTATCGGCTTGAAATTATTTTCACTGAAAAAATCCAAAACTGCCTTTGTTACGAAGTTAAATTCACTCCGTAACCAGATAAGTATACGTTACATGTACGACCTTCGGCGGCATTATTTCAAATCGACGCATGCGTGCAGAAATAGCCACTTTAAACATTTGTTCAAAACAAGGGCGAGGAAGAGAGCGAAAGATGGGGGCGCTCATCGACCTGTAGCCTAGAAAATCTGTATCCGCATTTACATAGAATCTATGGCCAACATATGTTACAAGCGACAGAGATATGTGGCGTATCGGTTCCCAATAAATAACAGAGAGTATGGCACATTTCGAATCCTTCATGAGGTATAAAAAATGGCATACGAACCATGAAGAATAACAAGGGCGTATAGGTTACTGCTATTATTGAAGGATAAACGGGCTCAGAGAGAGCAGGCGGCACAAAACCACCGCGCTTCAGTCGCGGTATTGAATCTTCGATTTATACGAGACGGATAAAATACTTTTAGATTTGAAAAAAAGATTGCGCCGCATCATTTTTCTCAACGGTGCCGGTTGACCAGAAAATTGACGCTTATGGAGAGTTCAGGCTGAATATTCCGAGAATTGAGTTAGATGATATTGATAGATTTCAGAAATACTGATAATTTTTTGTCGGTCATTCAGGCCGTAGAAAAAACTTACTGTGTGTACTATAGTGTGGTAAGTCACCCGGACAAGAGAGGTTGAGGGTTTCCCCTGATGGCGTTGGACTCCAACAAAGCGTACCATCGAAATGGGCTGGGCACCCCCCTGACAACACTTCAGTTGCATTGCACCACTGAAACGATGGCGAAGACGATAGCGTAAGGAGAAAATCCGCCTGAAACACGATCATGGACAATGTTAAAAATGCATGGTAGTGCGTATACCAATCAATTGACTGTCCTCAAAGAAACCGTAAACAAGCTTCAATGTTTGTTCGATTCAAGTTTTATCTCAATTTCATTTTATCGATTATGCGATCCTATACGGTCAGATTATTTATTTTACTATACTTGGTTCTGTACGTATATATATATATATATATATATATATATATATATATATATATATATATATGGATTTGAAAAGCGGCGCAAGTAAAAACAGGACTTTTGCTAGGGTATCGCACTTTGCAGTATACGTAGCACTTAAAATTTCGAGTTGTCCGCCTCTCTCTGAAGTTTTGACTTTCGCAAAAGATTGATTTTCCTGGACAAAATTATTCTATGGAAGACTCTGCACATGACAGTGGTGGCGGCAGACAACTTGTTATTGCTGCATCTTTTCACAGATCCATAGGAACTCGTTTTCTTTGCGGAAAGTATTTAAACGCCCTTCTGAGTTTCTATCACCATTAGAGTTAACAGCTGTCACGTCCCTATCACTCCTGCGAAAAATTAAAAACATAATTTCTTCTATGTAGTGAAATCGTAAAGGGCTTCTACTTACTTACCTATAATATCTCAACCTGTTTTGTGCCCTAATCCTTTCCCTAATTTTTTTTTATGTACCGACACCTTATTCAACATACGGAATCTGGGCTGAGCAGCTAGTCATGCACGAGCTTAGTGTTAAAAGCATTTCGATGCCCGGTTACGTGAGCGACCGTATACACAATTCATAAAAATCGCTAGGAAAAAGATGTTATTTTAGATGATTTTTTTTTTTATTTAAGATGAAAAATGGAAAGCGTAGCCCGAGATAACTGCGGGAAGCGCCGTAGTAAACTCCACTGCCAAGAAAAGGCTATATATACATAGATATGGCGTGATACAAAATTTATAGCATCTGTTAGAGCTCAATTCCTGATGATTGTTCCTCGTCATATTGCGTTACCTTCTATCTCTGGTCGTTTCGAAGTTAGTACATATGTTTTTCACCTTCGACTTTAGGTGTCAGGGTGCGCAAACGCCAAATGTGGTCGAAGGTTTGAATAGATTAAGGACCTAAATTGCGGGTAAGGATCCATTACTATAAGCCCTGGCATAATCGGTTTATTCTTTTGGAATCTATTGGATTCTCCTCCTAGCTACTCTCCTGAAAGCTCTCCTGACCAAATATTGACCCGAGATCATTCAAAGGGCAGTTTCTCTTTTTGGTTTGATAGTCTCTCAGACCACCTGAGCTTACTTTCTGATTATCGCTTGTTGCGTACTGTAGTTTGTTACCAATAAGTGTTAACATTGACAACATGTTTCTCGTTACTTTATTTTTATCCGTATATAGCCTTTGTATGCTATAAAATTAGTCAAATGTTGTGATAATCAAGATATAACAGTTATAAGCTAGGCTAAACGTTCAAAGTCCTGTTCTATTGTCTTCATTAGAGCTTAAAGCCCCTTCAAGGCCTCTCGGAGGCAATATTACAGCACTGAAAACCTATGTTATGAATTTGCCACTCCATGATATTCGGTTGTTCTGTTTAATGAAAGACAACACTCTTGGGCATACGGTTGCATATCTGACACTGCAGTAAGGGCCAGTTCTCATAGGAAAACGTAGTTCCTTCACCTTTTTGTTTTTATCTAAACACCATTTTTTGATCCAAAAGCTCGTACACATAAATACAGAAACTATCATATATCTATTGAGACCTAACCCGTTGCACATCTGTTCCACAGTAAACTCATCTAATACTTGATACTTATCTTGAACTGAAGGTAAATAGTGGGCTTCAGGTGGTAAATGTCATTTCTCCCAGACAAGAGCTATGATTGAAAAGAAAAACTTTTTATAGTGAGTTAATGATCAAAGCAAATATTTGTGAGTTCGTTTTATTAGGGACCTTTTTTAATCGATGCGTTATAGCAGCTCGGGAAAATTATACACAAGTGTATGATGGGTGAAAGTACTATTTGTGTACACCTTTCCTGTCACTGTGCACTGGGTATGTCTGCGTCGTGACTGTCTGTAAGGATTGAAGTTAGCACACGATATATAAGCCGTCAAAAAATAATGACTCTTATGACTCCACCCTGTAACCCTTGTCCTAGCCTAGATAAAATTCTCGCCCGTATGAAAGGAAGATCGTTCGTTTGTATTGTTGACGTAAAACAGTTGATTGCTGATGCATGAATGTTGCCTAAGGTCAATCTTTCCTCGCTGAATGAAGCAATAGCCTTATATAATGGTCAAAGCGAGAGTAAAGCTGATCATTCTGGATGTATAGGTCGTCAACTGGTGTGACCGGCCAGTTTGCTACAGACATCCGTAGACGAACTTTATGGAAGCCATTAGTATTGAGTGTTGATAAAAGCCTCTGTTCGAATAAGTCATTGTCGAGGTTTCTGGTGGAATAGCGGTCAGCTGCTTTTCTGTCGCGGTCAGAGTGTGTGTGTGAATGAAGTTCGGTAGCCATAAAATAAATCCGCAAAGACAGGACTCTAGACTATTAGAGATTTAGCTAATAGTGTTATTACCGGACGGCTGTCAATTGCCGCTGGAATACTGGTTGCAGAGGTCAGGATCTCCTGGAAATATATGTAATTTGTTTCTCATTTTTTTACTTAGAAATAGCCGTCTTCACCAAAACTCAGGCACAAGTAGATTCCATTGCCGCTCAATATAGACTGCATTTGTGTGCAGTTAATTGTTAAACTAATAGGACGCATTTGTTTAGCTTCTCGCTTAAATGTCAAAGCGTTGTACCAATTAGACGTCTGTTACTCTATCTGCATGGCAAGAACAAGGATTCAACACCTACTACTAACGCCAAGATCCATGTGATTGCGCGAACAAATCGCGTGATATTACTTTCGCATTTTTTCCTGTTTTTGTAAATACTACGACGATTAAATCAAGCAGAAGAGCCAATTTTTTTTTATAAGTGAGCAAGGATGTCCGTTTCCGCCTAAAACTTGGAATCGGTGACATCTCTTCGATTACCAGAAGCTCTAATGAAAATCTTTCCATTAGTAAGAATTAACTTCACTTATTCTGTTTCATGGATATTTAGATACAACGGTCTACGATGATGTAACGTCGTTAAAATGCTATCAGCGTGAAGGCAGACCCTTGTACGTGTTCAGCTGATGAACAGCTTAATGAAACTATACTTACCTACCGAAGCATATGGTAGCTTCCGTTATAGAAAAATCTTTTGATCTTATAGCCCGACTCGTTGACGCGAATTAAACAATCGCCGTTCCGTGGGCCTATAAACGGCGTGTACTCATACAGCGCACTTTTTAGACATTGGTTGTCGCTAGAGCTATTGCTTTTGTGATTCCTTCTATTCGCTTATTTTTTATACTGTAGGAATATACCGGCAACAAACTACGTTCAAATAAAGAAGGCTAAATTATACGTCAGGTAAACCGTTTTTACCACAATTCTAGTTTTAAATCTTCAGGACATGAATGAACGCGCAACATTAGCTTTTAAAGCCAATATTACATCAAGGAACTACTAAATGATAGACTGGACCCAAAGCATTCCAATATTTGAAAAGTGTATATGTTTCGAACTGGTTCGAGAAAATTAGCTTTTTTTCGTCGGCATACCAGGTATAGACCTTGATACCATCATCATGCCTCGGCGGCGAAATGACCTGCTCATCTGCGCGAAATTGGCCCCAATAGAGCAACAAAGTGATTCAACCAGTGTTATGATTTTCCGCTACATTAGCAAATGCATTAATACTAGTTTCTTGATCCCAAGAAGGATTTTCCTTATCTTTTTTCTCTTTTGTTAAATCTTCAATAAATGATGTGGCATAGTACATGTTTGTTGGACGTTTCATCATAAATTTTGTCCCGATATAAGCTTTAACATGAAAACCGTCGATATATAAGGTACAAGTTGACTTGTTCATGTTATGTGCTGATATGTACATATCAATAAGAATAATTTCGAAAAAATTTTCTGCCTCTTTTAAGAGGTCGATTTTTTTCTTAGAGATTTATTAAGAGTAGTGCTATTTTACTTAAGAAGTACTTGCTAGAGAAAATTCATGGAGATTTTATATTGTGTTATACGAACTTTTGAATAGACACAAGTTACTATTTGACAACCAACGGAGCAATGAATTTAATGTAAATGTTAAATTTAAGTATTTCGAAAAGTTTGCCTAAGACGGACTATTACACGAGACATGCATTTTTAGAAAGCATATTGTACTAAAAATACTTTGAAAATGTCCTGTTTTTAGGCCCAGTATCCTTTTTTTGAAAACAGGTGTCAAGCAAAATCCCTAGAAAAGCCCTATATTCTTAGGGTTCTCCCAGACGTTCTCAAGGAAAGTTGTTTACGAAAGTTACCCAGGAACAAGGACATTACGTCTACATTCCCGCTATCTTTGAGACATTTTAATCAAATTATCATTTTTAATATTCGATGCTGTCCCCTATATCGCATCCCAAATTCTGTTGCAGCGACATACTTAGCGCCGGCTTTCAAACGTGGTAACATTTCGATCTCATATAATTAACCAGTTATTCAACGCATGCGCTACGTCTTGACCATACGACGCTTCGTCGCGGGTGGAACCTTATATCGCACATTTCTCATAGGCAGCTTACTTTTTGTAGTTGCCTAAAATCTTTTTTATTTTATTTGTACTTAAATTTTTTATGTTTGTCTTTTTATCTTTGTTAAATTTTAATAACATCTTTTTCTTTAGCTTGAAAGTTAAATTCAAAGCATCTCTAAGTCGAGTGAATCGGACACGTATACAGCTTTTCTCCGTTTCACGTATGTATACCACACTGGTCAATACCGCGAGCACTGATTGTAATTCGTTCCCTGCGCGCAATTTCTTCGTGGCGCAAGACACTCCCTATACTTTTCTGGCGCGGATACGTGAGCTCTCGTTCCAGTTCAACGCTAACTGTCGCGCGG